AATACTTTTTGTGCGCAAAGAAAGCAAAAATAACGACTTTATTCAACAATTCGTCTCCTCCCTATAGCACCTTTTTGGAGAGTGTCAACTAGGGCTGTCAAAATGACTGAAAAACTAAATTCGAATTTTGTACTTAAATACTGTATTATCAAAATTCGAATTATATTCGAATTTAAAATGCATAATTTCAGTTAGGGTGAAGAAAAGCTTTTGGCTTCTCTCTTGAGGCCACAAGAGGGCGCATCGAGCAAAATATTACTAATGCACGTTTATTCAATGAACGGCATGGCTTTTTGATGTAAACAAGATCTTCTCCGCATTCATGTTTTCTTTTTCCGCAATATTTGTAATGAACAACGCAGCAGCGCCATCTAGTGGCTTCAACTGAATAGGCTAACAAAAGCATTCAAATGCAATGACACCAACATCGTCATCGCATCTCGTGCGCCACTGATAAGTTGCCTGATGAACACCTAAAATTCGAATGCAACGTTTTTGCATTCGAATGTGGATTTTTATTTTAAATTCTGCGAATATTCGAAATTCAAATTTTTTTTTGACAGCCCTAGTGTCAACGTATGCAACGTATGTACGTGGATACACTGTTTACGTTCAGATCAAAATGGCGCTATAGGGTAGTGCTGAGCGGTATACCGGTTCATACCGAATACCGGTGTTTATTTTTGTTATGATATTTACCGCCCAGCACGCTTAGGGTGACGCGGAGAGACGAATTGTTGAATAAAGTTGTTATTTTTGTTTTCTTTGCACACAAAAAGTATTCTCGTAGCTTTGTAAAATTACGGTTGAACCCCTGATGTCACATGGACTATTTTAACGATGTCCTTGCTATGTTTCTGTGCGTTGATCGTGTTAGGATCCTTGCTGTCTACGGAGATCAGAGAGCTCTCAGAGTTCATCAAAAATATCTTAATTTGTGTTCTGAAGATGAACGAAAGTCTTACAGGTTTGGAACGACATGAGGGCGAGTAATTAATGACAGAACTTTCATTCTCGGGTGAACTAACCCTTTAAAGGCTTGTTCACACTGAGACTCATGCCATTAAATGACACAAGTTCATCTTTGCAGCAGTTCATCATGTTCCTAGTTTTGTCTTTATGAATTTTCAGCATCTGAACAAATAGAAAACTGACCTATCCCATAAAAATTGGCTGATAAGAGTTCACAGGTTTTTATTTTAAAATGCATAGTTTTGTGCATGATGTTTATAATTAGGGCTGTACGATATTGGAAAAACTCACATTGCGATATTTTGTTTTTCTGCAATATATGAAAAAAAAATTCACCAAATGACTTGAATAGCTCTATTTGGAAAAAAAAAAAAATCAATGATTGGGGTTATTTTGTAGGTGAGTAAATCAGCATAGAAAAGAAACAAATTGCAAGCATAGATATAATAGAACAAAGATACAAATAAAATAAACAGTGCTTTGTATTTTTCAGGTAAGTCTAACAGTATTCAGGTACAGAAATTGAATAACCAAATGTACAATAATTAGTGCTGTCAAACGATTAATCGCATCCAAAATAAAAGTTTTTGTTTACATAATATATATGTGTGTTCTGTGTATATTTATTATGCATATATAAATAAACACACATACAGAATATATTTTGAAAATATTTACATGTATATCAAAATGACCTGATGTTTTGGCTCTGTAGCATCAAAAGATTTTATTATTATTAATCATTGAAATATTATTACTATTATTATTGTTTAATAATTATCGTTTGCAAGATTATCTGAGGTTCTGAGTTCTGTGGCAGCAAAAGATTTGATTATTATTAATAATTGTATTATTATTATTATTATATAATTGTTTAATAATAATTATTATGGTAGCACCAAAAGATTTTATTATTATTAATCATTGTATTATTATTATTATTATTACTACTACTACTATTACTCTAGTACTACTTTTACTTTTTACTTAAAAACTGTTTAGGTTTTATTATTAATCCCAAATAATAATAATAATTTTATTATGATTATTTTTATATAATTGCTTAATAAATTAATTTTAATTTATTAACTTTAATTCATTTAAATGAGTTATTTTGAATAATGAGAAAAATAAGAATCTAATAAAAAAAATTATAATTATTTTTGTGAATGTCGTGTTTAAACGGAGCTGTTATTGCGAGTGCAGTCGACGCTGAGTGCTTTGTTTTTTCTTCAGAGCGTTCTGGGGAAGATGAATGAAATCGCCAAGCACAAGGCGGCCATCGAGGACGCAGAGACCCAGAACAAGGTGCGTCCTGCGGTCAGCATAGAGACGGTCCTGGAGTTAACGAGCTGACTGACGAGTCTGGTCTGTGGTCTGTGTGCAGGTGTCTCAGCTGTATGACGTGGTGCAGAAGTGGGATGCGATGGCCACGTCTCTCCCGCAGCTGCTGCAGAGACTGCTGGCCGTCAGAGAGCTGCACGAGCAGGGTATCCTCAACACACTTCACTCAGATGCTTGCTTTGGGGCTTAAATACACAAAAAATGTGTGTAGGTACAGAAATTGAATAACCAAATGTACAATAATTAGTGCTGTCAAACGATTAATCGCATCCAAAATAAAAGTTTTTGTTTACATAATATATATGTGTGTTCTGTGTATATTTATTATGCATATATAAATAAACACACATACAGAATATATTTTGAAAATATTTACATGTATATCAAAATGACCTGATGTTTTGGCTCTGTAGCATCAAAAGATTTTATTATTATTAATCATTGAAATATTATTACTATTATTATTGTTTAATAATTATCGTTTGCAAGATTATCTGAGGTTCTGAGTTCTGTGGCAGCAAAAGATTTGATTATTATTAATAATTGTATTATTATTATTATTATATAATTGTTTAATAATAATTATTATGGTAGCACCAAAAGATTTTATTATTATTAATCATTGTATTATTATTATTATTATTACTACTACTACTATTACTCTAGTACTACTTTTACTTTTTACTTAAAAACTGTTTAGGTTTTATTATTAATCCCAAATAATAATAATAATTTTATTATGATTATTTTTATATAATTGCTTAATAAATTAATTTTAATTTATTAACTTTAATTCATTTAAATGAGTTATTTTGAATAATGAGAAAAATAAGAATCTAATAAAAAAAATTATAATTATTTTTGTGAATGTCGTGTTTAAACGGAGCTGTTATTGCGAGTGCAGTCGACGCTGAGTGCTTTGTTTTTTCTTCAGAGCGTTCTGGGGAAGATGAATGAAATCGCCAAGCACAAGGCGGCCATCGAGGACGCAGAGACCCAGAACAAGGTGCGTCCTGCGGTCAGCATAGAGACGGTCCTGGAGTTAACGAGCTGACTGACGAGTCTGGTCTGTGGTCTGTGTGCAGGTGTCTCAGCTGTATGACGTGGTGCAGAAGTGGGATGCGATGGCCACGTCTCTCCCGCAGCTGCTGCAGAGACTGCTGGCCGTCAGAGAGCTGCACGAGCAGGGTATCCTCAACACACTTCACTCAGATGCTTGCTTTGGGGCTTAAATACACAAAAAATGTGTGTATTATGATATGTTTTTGATCTCTTGTTTTGTGGTGCAGCGATGCAGTTTGGGCAGCTGCTGACCCATCTGGACACGACGCAGCAGATGATCAACAACTCTCTGAAGGACAACAGCACTCTGCTCACGCAGGTCTGTCCTCAAACACCACTGACGCAAACAAATGAGTGCAATTAAATTCATGTGGAGATTAATGTTTTAAATATACAATTTTTAATACAGAAATATGATTTAAATAACTGAAATTATAAGCTAAAAATGAAACTAAATCCGCCAGCAGGTGGCGGCAAGTGACTGATTTTACCACTGAATCATTCATTCAATTGATTCGTTCGAACGGCTGAATCATTCATTCAATTGATTCGTTCGAACGGTTGAATCATTCATTCAATTGATTCGTTCGAACGGCTGAATCATTCCGAAATGAAGCAAGTGACTGTCTTTATGAACTGACGCAAATCTGTCGTAGCGACGGAACTTTAATCCCTGTGTTATATGCTAGGGGGCGCTATTACGCATCTTCTGAATGAGTTGATCAAAAACACAGACCAGGAAGACGCAGAAACAAGCGATCTCATATGAAAGCATATGCATATGAAAAATAATGCGATCATCAACACTAAATGCTAGAGGTGTAACGTTACATTTATTCTTTCGGTTCTGTACGCATGTGTACCGAACAAATCATTCAATTTTTTTCAGTTAATTCAGACAATAAATGTCGTTTTGGCGCTCTTTGATGAGGCGCGACAGATTATTACTAGTCTTAACGCAAAAAATATACAGGAATGAACAAACCATGTCTCGTGTGATCGTTCAATCAGTGTTTCACTTGCAGAAAGACGTCAATAAAACAGCTTGTAAACAAAAGAGCATTTCATCATCAGTGTCTACAGCTCATTATTTACTAGAGAAGAGCATTTCACTAAATATTAAACTATATACTCATCTTCTGAATGAGTTGATCAAAAACACAGACCAGGAAGATGCAGAAACAAGCGATCTCATATGAAAGCGTATGCATATGAAAAATAATGCGATCATCAACACTAAATGCTAGAGGTGTAACGTTACATTTATTCTTTCGGTTCTGTACGCATGTGTACCGAACAAATCATTCAATTTTTTTCAGTTAATTCAGACAATAAATGTCGTTTTGGCGCTCTTTGATGAGGCGCGACAGATTATTACTAGTCTTAACGCAAAAAATATACAGGAATGAACAAACCATGTCTCGTGTGATCGTTCAATCAGTGTTTCACTTGCAGAAAGACGTCAATAAAACAGCTTGTAAACAAAAGAGCATTTCATCATCAGTGTCTACAGCTCGTTATTTACTAGAGAAGAGCATTTCACTAAATATTAAACTATATACTCATATTTCACTTTACCTGTTAGTGATGCCTTAATCATTTAATGTATGTTTCAATAAATAATAATAATAATAATATGAGGTCTGTTTCAACAACAAATAGAAATTGTATAATTTAGAAGTTAATTTATAAACTGCATTATGTGCGATTTACATGTTTGCATACAAATTTTTAATTAGAGTGTTGATTATTATAGCTAAAAATAAATAGCAATTGAATTTAAGTTTGGGCTCTGTTGTTAATTGTAACCTTCCTATAGTCCCTATAGTTTAGAGCAGAAGCTGAGGTAGATTTTTATCATTTTAATTGAATTTAATTAAAGCAAAAGCTATTTGTTCAGTAAACCATTGTTTAATTAAAAAAAAAATATATATATATATATACAGTATATAGGCTATGTTTAGTATTTTTTCCTCCTGCTGTACCGAATCCATACCGAGGTACGTACCGAACCGTCATGTTTGTGTACGTTACACCCCTAACTGCATATAAATGAAAACGGCCTGATGTTAGCGAGTGAAATGTGGATCCAGAAAGCGGTGAAGGACTGTGCAAGCTTTGGGAGCGCTGACGGAAGCCATCTACTGCATCTTTGCTTTGATAATATTACTGAATATGATCCAGATGCGATTTTCAAAAATGCGATTTTCTCAGCTTTTTGCTTTTTTATGAAACCTACCTACATTCAAGTGTTGATAAAAAAAACAATGCTTGAAGCTAGAATAAAACAGATTTTGTTTTTGTTTAAAAGTTGAGGGTCTGATCTTTATTTTGATTTACAAAACAGAAGAGTTCCGGTCCTTGATTCTGATTGGGTTTCTCATGCCGCCCTTTTGTTTTTCTGCTGAGTGTCGAGAGCAAACGTCCCCACACTACAGAGCCTCCTAAAGCTTCAGCGTTCAGATGCTCTCCTCAAACCCAGCATCTGAAAGAGTTCTGATCTTAAGCACTTTCCTTCCTGATCCACACAGGCTTTGTTTTGAAGGTGAGGAGACGCTGTGTGTGTAAATACAGGCTCATCTGTACTTCTAGCTCGTTCTCATGAGCGATCGCTTGTAACCGTTATTGTATTATTAATGTGTGGCGCTGAGTCCACGAATTATGATCATTTTCCAACAGAGAATTTCAAATGCATCTCTGGATAATAAAATGCTTCCAGAAATCTGTTTGATGTTGTTGTTGTTTTGAAAGTTCACAGCATTCCACACATTTTCCTGGCATTCCCTCACAATACATTTCAGTTACATTTTCCAGTCATTAGGATTATCGGATAAGGATTATTAGATTGAGATTTTTACATTTTTGTAGATTTTTTAAAATATATAATTTACATAGATTTTTTTTGTAGGTTTTACATTTTTGTGGCTTTGTAAAATTTTGTAGATTTGTTTTTTTTTTTTCAATTTTACGGTTTTGTAAATTTGTATATTTTTGCAGATTTGACATTTTGTGGCTTTGTATATATTTTTTTACATTATTAGATTTTAGTCAAATCTATTTTACATTAGATTTTACATTTTTGTAAATTTGTTTTGTATGTTTTTAAAAAATGTTTATGTATTTTTTCCTTTAAATTTTAGCAGGTTTTGCTAGTGTAATTTAAAAAAAATATTCTCGATTAGAAATTTTCTAGTATAATGCTAAATATGAATATCAAAAAATAAAAGAAGGGCTAGAAATCAATTTGTTTGATGCTTATCTTCATAAGTAATATGCATTGCCTTAAAGCATTATATATTATTGTCATATAGACATTAGTTTGTTGGCTTTGTTTCATCAGCTTCATTTAGTTCCGCTCAATTTTTCTCTACGATAGTTAAGCAGCTTATTTTCTTTTTCTTGCCAGTCAAAGGTTTTTAGATGTTTTAAGACATTGTTCAAAAGACGAAAGCCTGTAGGACTTTTTCTAAAACACATTCCAACAAAGACTTTGCAATGTTTTTTTTAACTAACTACATTAACATGAACAATACTTCTAAAGCGTTAAATAATCTTAGTTGATGTTAAACACAATTTATATCAAAAGTTGCATTTGTAACATTAATTCACTGATTAAATAAGGAATAAACAATTGTATTTTTATGCTAATGTTGAGAACGATTAATAAATTATAAATAAAAAGTGATATACAGAGCTAGTTAAACAGGACAGTTTTCTAAAAGTGTTAGTGAAATATTTAGAAACAAAAACTTTTTTGTTTTTTCTCTCCGTCTTATAAAGAAATATTTCATGTTCTGAAGCAGAACAACTTACAGTTTTGGCTGGTGACGTCTAAACAGTGACATGAAATAATCAGAAGAGAGCTTTCATCATTTAAAACGTTTTAATTTGTTAAATAAAATAAAAAAAGTCAACTCCCAATAAAAAAGGAAATGCTACTTGTTCACAATCCTCAAAGTATTTTCTTTACAAATCAAACATGAATATGAGAAAGGAAAGGTTTCTCTGCAGGAGAAATATTTTACAAATTGATCATTTTTTTCCCTAAAAAAGGTGTACAAAATAAAATACTAAAACTGTACATATATACATAAATTCAATAGTAAAATTGCATAATCAGCCTCATTAAATCATTATTTTAAATATTCAGTATTAATCTTGTGCCTGTGTTGATGAGCTCTGTGCAGATCCACGACTAAAGCCCCTAAAACCTACAGATACACTCCTGTAACACACACACACACACACACACGTTTACACATAGGAGGAAAAAAAAAACATATATATGGCCCTGCAAAGACAAAACATTGAGTGATGAGTGCGATTTGAGTCTTGTTTCGAGGCGTGTGAAACTCAAGTGTTACTGAGGGCGCCATTACTGACAAAACTACTGACTGAATCTAGGGCTGAAAGCGGTTCATGAGGTGCATTATGGGTTTTTAAAGGATAATGAGTCGTTTGGTCCGTCTCAGTGTCTGAGGGATTTTTGGACACAATCGTGCACCTGATGGGAGTGAAATCTTAAAGGGACAGTACACCCAAAAAATGTGTGAGTCCATCACTTGCAGTGAATGGGTGCCGTCAGAATGAGAGTCCAAACAGCTGATAAAAACATCACAATAATCCACACCCCTCCAGTACATCAGTTAACATCTGGAGAAGGCCAAAGCTGAAACAAATCCATCAAGAAATATGAGTCCATAATCCATAATAACGGTTCCTCCAGTGAAAAAGCTCATCTGCTGTTGTCTCTCACATCAAAATCCAGCCACATATGTGTTTAGAGCTGTTTAAACGCTGCTTGATCTGTGCAGATTTCTCTCCTGATTCAGACCAGAACATTTTTTCACTGGAGGAAGCGTTATTATGGATTATGGACTCGTTTTTTCTAATTTTTTCTCCATATATTTCCACAATTGCATAAATTAAATAGTCAAAATGTGCTTTATACTGTTTTGTCTAGCTTTTCAAATAAAAAAATCAATTACAAAACAACAATTTAAAAATACTTATTTAACACTGAACATTTTTTTAACATTTTAGCAGACATTATACCAACAAAGCACAATTTAACTTAAAATTAATTAGTAAAATAATATTTTTTGGCCATCTTTGAGACCCCCTTATTTTTACTGTATAAATAAATGCAGCCTTGCTGAGCAGAAGAGACTTATTTTAAAACATTAGAAAATATTACAGATCCCAATTTGAACACTATGTGTGAATGTTATAATAAATGTATTAATAGAGCTTTTGTAATTATTATTATCTTTTCTTATTTTATTAAAAATGCATAAAAATGTGACTGAGCAGCTGACGAGTAGGCTAGATTTTCCTCGCGCTTTGGACTCTGAACCCTGGCTA